GGCCTGTCTATTAAACTACTGTTTAGTAAATTATGTAACATCTGTGCTAACATTTCTGTTCTTATTCCATGACCTGAAATACGCATTTCCGTAAATTTGTGTTTTATCATTCTAATGTCTGCAACAATAGTCCACACAGATTCCATTTGATCTAGATATATGATATATATATATATATATATATATATATATATGATCATCCTCATGTGAGAGACCCCCATCCCAAAATGTAAAAGGCAACTGTATAAAAACCCAAATTATACTGTGAAAATTAATATTATAGATGGGTCCAAGTATTATATGGAAAAATTTAGTATAATATTTAGTGTTTAGTAATATAACATTTTATTTCTACTAATTACAGTATACTGTATTTAGTTAATTATTTACTTACTATTTTAATTTGTATTATTAATTCTAATCTAATTTGCATTTATTTGCTTGTTTTAATTTAGTCTTTGGTTATTTATTATAATCAAATTTTAGATTATTTATGTGAATTTGATCTTTTTTTTTGTCAGTTATAATTCTATTTGAATCCTTTTTTATTTATTTGCTTGTTTTGTTTATACTACTTAGTACTGTATTTATTTACATATTTATTTTAATACAATTTTTGTTCATTTTAATCTAATTTGTATTTATTTGTTTGTTTTAATCTAATTTTTATTTATTTTAATCAAATGTTGGATTATTTATTTGAATCTTATCATATGTTATAATTAGATTATTTCAATCCATTTTTTATTTGTTTGTTTATTATACAAATATGTTATTTATCTTACTAAAACTGAGTATTTATTTGATTTATTTGACTTGATTTGATTTTAATCATATATATATATATATATATATATATATATACAGTCATGGCCAAAAATATCGGATTGGTAAATATGATCAAAGAAGGCTGTGAAAATTAATCTGCATTGTTAATCCTTTTGATCTTTTAATTAAAAAATTCACAAAAATCAAACCTTTCACTGGAGAATAAGAATTTAAAATGGGGGAAATATCATGACATAAATGTTTTTCTCAAATACACGTTGGACACAATTATCGGCACCCCTAGAAATTCTTATGAGTAAAATATCTGTGAAGTATATTCCCATTCATATTTACAATTTTGAGCACACCAGGGTGATTATGAACATGAAATTATTCAGCCATGGCTTCCTGTTTCACAAAAATATAAATAGGAGGGAAAACAAAGGCCAAATTCCAAATTAATCATTTATCACAATGAGAAAAACCAAAGAATATATTTCTGATGTGCAGTAAAAGATAATTGAGCTTCACAAATTAGAAAGTGGCTTTAAGAAAAGAGCTAGAGCAGTGAAAATCCCCATTTCCACCATCAGGGCAATAATTAAGAATTTCCAATCAACATAAAATGTTATGAATCTGCCTGGAAGAGGACGTGTGTCTATATTGTCCTAATGCACGCTGAGGAGGAGAGTTTGAGTGGATAAAGACTCTCCAAGGACCACAGCTGAAGAATTGAGTCTCAGGGTCGCAAAAGCTTAAAAAAAATTGTCAAACAGCACCTACATCACCACATGTTCGGGAGGGTTTCAAGAAAAGAAAATGCTCTCATCCAAAAACAATCCCCAGCATATTCTGTTGTCAGACACGACTGGAACTTCAAATGGGACTGGCTTCTATGGTCAGATGTAACTAAAAAATTAGCTTTTTAGCAACAAACACTCAAGATGGGTTTGGTGAACACAGGGATAACAATGCTCAGATGTAACTAAAAAATGAGCCTTTTAGCAACAAACACTCAAGATGGGTTTGGTGCACACAGGGATAAAAAGTACCCCATTTGTACAATGAAATATACTGCTGTATTTTTAATGTTGTGGGCCTATATTTCTGCTGGAGGTCCTGGACATCTTGTTTAGATACATGGCATCTTTGATTCTATCAAATACCAACAGATAAAAAATCAATAAGTGTCTGACTCTGTTAGAAATATTATAATGGGCCATGTTTGGATCTTCCAACCGGACAATAATCTAAACACAAACCTTAAAAACAACACAAAAATGGGTCACTGAGCACAAAAGCAAGCTTCTGCTCTGGCTGTCCCAGTCCTCTGAGCTGAAGCCTATAGAAGATGAGTGTGGTGAACTGAAGAGGAGGAGCTGGGAATCTGAAGGGTCTGGAGAGATTCTGGATGAAGGAATGCTCTCTGATCTCTTGTCAGGTGCTCTCTAACCTCATCAGGCATTATAGGAGAAAACTCAGAACTGTTAAACTGGCAAAAGGAGGTTTCAAAAAGCATTGAATAAAAGGTTGCCGTTAATTGTGGCCAATGTGTATTAGAGAAAAACCTTTATTATGTACTCTTATTATTTAATCTTCTTTGAAAGAATTGTTAGACTTTCTGTTCTGTTTATTTTGTAATTGCGAGTGCAACTCCCTGTGTTTTGCTATATCAGAACAGGGGCGTAGCCATCATAGTCCATAGTTCAGGAAATAAATAAACCACATATCACTCAAACCACATATTGCAAAGAGACCATGTAAATGAACTGAACTGACAAACATTATTTGTTTCTTTATATATAGATGTAAAATAAATAATTTTATGGATTAAGTAATTGTTAAATAATTATTAATTGTAATTAAATAATTTAATTGGTCATTTCCGCCAATGATCATGTTTTTTTTTTTTTTTTGTCATTCAAGCACTTTCCAATTAATTTTGTTATTTAACTTAAAGGGGCGGTTTCCCAGACGGGTCAAATTAAGCCAAGAGTAGGCTTAATCTAGAATAGTTAATTATGGTTTAAAAAAACAGCTTTCTGAAACACAGATTAAGTACAGATGACTAATGACTATGGAGTCCTGAACTAAAATAAACTAGATTAATTTAAAACCAACTGTGCTAATCTGAATTGGCACAACAGAGGTTGCCTATAAAACATGGAATGAACCAAGAACATCTTAAAATTGTATGGAACTGAGAAGCAATATGTCTGTGGTGTTTAATATGTGTTATTTCCCCATCAGATCCATTTGATAATGATCCCGATGTTTTAAGAGCTAAATTATCCTGTGGTCACATCACTGGACCACAGACACTGACAGACTACTGCAGAGTACAGCTGGATCAGGTGAGTGTAGATTAGTCATTATTAGTACATCAGAAACAGATTTTACTTTTTTAATGCACTTCTCATTTTCAAATATTTTATTTTTTTTAAACAATGCTATGGTATGTATTCAGCATGCATACATAGAACACATCACATATTCCGCATCAAAGGTTCCAAAAGCAGGTTTTCACACCTTTGGTTCCACAAAGAACCTCTCAGTCACCAGTTCTTAAAAGAACCTTTTTTTTTTCCTTATTGTAAAAAACATTTTAATAATAAAAATAAACTTTTTTTCCCTATAAAGAACCTTTTGTTGAATGGAAAGGTTAAATGGACCGCTCTGGTTTCATTAAAAATATCTTAATTTGTATTTCAAAGCTTAAGAAAATTCTCATGGCTTTGGAACCATATGAGGATGAGTAAATAATGACAGAATTCTCATTTTTGCGTGAACTATCTGTTTAATTGCAGGGTAAAGCTGAGCTGAGATGCCCTGAGTGTAAAGATCTTTGGTCTTACACTGAAGTACGTAAACTAGCCAAACTCACACCTGAAGAACAGCTATACTTTGAGGAAAGACTTGCCAACAACGCTACTAGAAAGATAACAGACATCAAGAACGTAAGGACATATTCTACACCTTTTTATTCTTAGAAACATCTGTATGGTTCAGTTATTGTTCATGTTCTCTTTCTGTCTCACAGTGTCCTGGTTGTGATTGGTTGATCGAGAGATCAGACTCATCTAATCTCAGCGTGCAGTGCACCGTTTGCTCTGTAAAGAATAAAAAAACCTTTGAGTTCTGCTGGCAGTGTTTGAGAGAATGGAAAGGCCAGCGTCCTCGATCTGATCGATGTGACAATGAAGGCTGCAGCAACAGAGATCTGGATCTGCTGAGAGATTGTGCAACTATTATTTTACAAGATGCTGCAAAAATCGAATGTCCAGCTGTTCGTGCTTGTATAACATGTGGTTTGCTGATTACCCACAACACACAGAGGTGTAAATCTGTTACATGCTCGAGGTGTAAAACAGTGTTTTGTTTTGTCTGTCTCAAGCTCAAATCTGAATGTGGGAAGACAAGTGGTTTCTATAAACCCTGTTCAGATTGTTTGGCTCCACGACAGACTTCAATTCCATTTTGGAGAGATAAACAATAAATACATGTATTGTTTCAGAAAAGAATATTGTAAAATCTAATCATTTACAAGTGCTGATACAGTGAAAATGATACAATTGGTACTATTTATTACACAGTTTATTTTGTTCATGCATTCAGATTAAGCAGATGATCTAAGCAGCACACAAACTCACACACTGCAAAGTCTTGTTTTGCTGTTAGCTAACAATTCTAAGAGTTTCTCTTGCTTATCCTTCTTTCCTTGTTCTTGTGTTTTCTTGATCGTGGACTGTTTCACTGGTTTCTTGATTGTTTACTGCCTGCCCCGACCATTGCCTGTCTTTGGATTACTCTCGTCTCGTCTCTGAAGTTGTGTTTTACTGGTGTTTGACCCTGTCTGTTTCTGACAACGCTCTTGTTATAAAAGCTGCATGTGGAGCCTAACTCATCCGTTACAGGTGTAAGGTTTACAAGAACAAATTGACATGAAATTATTAAACCCAATTTATGTGTTTACAGTCTTAGCCAAGTATGTGATCTCAAGGCACCTGCATTAACACCTTACATTAAACTATTGCTAAAGCAATTTCACAAAAGCTAATTCTGTATGTCTATTCTGAGAGTTTGCATTTTTTTAAATAGAACACATTTTAGGACAAACGAACTATACCATACAAAATATTCAAATGAGTGTTTACGGAGGATGAGAGACATCATTTATAAATATAAAACATGTTATGACTGTTCATGGGTGTTAAATGATAAAAATCCCTGATTTTACTGTTCATCACAATATTTTAATTGGGCCATGAAAAGATATTCTGAGACCTATAAGCCCCAGTGAGACATCCATTAGTTACACCATTTCTGACAAGATCTCAAAAATTGATTTTAATGTACTTCATGTATTATAAGCCTTCCGAAGCTATAATTTGGCTATACGTGAGGAATATGTCAAAATGTTAGTGATTACCCAGAGAAAATCAATTATAATACACCCATAAACTTTGTCAAGGACCAGAGTTTATGCTGCTCAGCACTGAGACAATGTTATTGAATATTTGAATATGTAAAATCTAAAATGATCACTGAAGAAAGCCTCTGTGGATGAGATACATAGGTTGTGATTTAATGCAAAATTAAATCATGAAAGGAGTCTGATGATAGCAACTGCTCTGCTTGTAGTGATTTTTCCCCCCATTTAATTATTTATGATAAGCTTTTCAAAACAGGTCTCCAGGTCTGCGTCAGTCACTCTCCTATTCGCTCTCGTCTTGCGTGACCTCAGTGACCAGCTGTGGTTGATAATCTTCAGCCTGTAAGAGAGAACAAAACAAACCAAACAACAAATGATTACATCATTGATCAATTAAACAATGGACTGAGTGTCAAATGAATTACAATTACTTTTTATATTTTACATCATGTGTTTGTTAGTAAATCCTCAACTGTATCACTCATCTGTGATCATTCATCTCAGAAATGTTTAAATGGAAAACCTTTAATCACATGTCAAGAATTAGATCATCAGACACAGAGTAAGATTAATATTGTAAGTGATGGTCTCTATGGTGGAGCTTTATGCTACAGTGATGTGTCCAAAAACTTTCTGCTGTAGAGAATTTAAGTGAAATTAATCTAGGTGTCTTCACTTTTTGTCCATCAAAAATACATTTTTGCATCCCTTTGTGTTTCTTAAAAACATATAAACAGCAGCATAATAATGACACTCACCACAGTTTCTCCAGTTTACACTCGGGATGTTTTAGTAGAGCTGAAAGCTGCTTCACTCCTGAATCTGTAATGTTATTGTTACTCAGGTCCAGTTCTCTCAGATGAGACGGGTTTGATCTCAGAGCTGAACTCAGAACATCACAACCTCTGTCACTAATATGACAAGATCTCAACCTGTGTGTATGAGAGGAACAAATTATCCCTTTCAGTGACAGTACAGAGATGAAAGATGCATTTACAGAATGTTTTTTTCTGTTGCTGACATTTTGAAAGAGAACTTGCTTCTTTGAAAGAGAACAATTATGTCACATTGAGTTCAGTTATATGAATTTGCATGGTTAATATTGGTAAAGCAACATTTTTTTTAATCTCACTAATTAATGAAATTAATTTTGATGAATTTTGAACAAATTAATTTTGTTTGTTTGTTTATTTATTTACAAACAAGTTTTGATAGTGCAGCATTTGACTATTGGAAGGTTAATTATTGAGAGCTTCTAGAACACTTTATTATAATAAATATACTGTAAATGCTAGTAACCGAGGGAATTTGATCTCAGAGCTGATCTCAGAACAGCAAAACAGAAATTCAGTAAGACATACAGATATTGCTAGTCTGTCTGCTGAAAAATGTGTCTGATTTTACAACAAATGACCAATTTGACAACAAATATACAATACCAGTATTAGAATCATACCACAGTTTCTCCAGTTTACACTCGGGATGTTTTAGAAGATCTGAAAGCTGCTTCACTCCTGAATCTGTAATGTAATTCTCACTCAGGTCCAGTTCTCTCAGATGAGACGGGTTTGATCTCAGAGCTGAACTCAGAACAGCACAACCTCTGACACTGATACCACAAGATCTCAACCTGTGAGTGTGAAGAAAGAAAAAAAAAATGTTCCATCTTTCTGTTTATTTCCATGTGGCTGAAAAACACTTGAAGTTCACAATCAAATAACTAATAAATATGAATGACATTATTAAGTATGGGATAATGTACATTCAGCCGGTTGTTATCTCAGAATAAGCCCTGACAGGGTGATCAGGTCTTGTATCAGCCTGAAGGGGTTTATTCTGAGATAACAACCGGCTGGATGTACATTATCGCGCTTATTACATGGCTACTTGCCACATAAGTAAATAATTAGACGCGAAATATTGATTTGAGTTGAAATATTTGAATGCAAAGCTTCCGTGAAGACAGAAGTTGCGAGCAAGCGGCAATTTTAAACTAGACGGACATTTAAAGTAAACGGTGCAGTCAAACCACTCATTACACAACATTTCACCACAAAAATAATTAAGGCAATAAAACAATTAAGACGAAAATTCCGACTGCTGTTACCCGGTGTTAGGGTTATGTTTAGTTTTGTTCTGTTTTCATTGTGTTTTCAGTGTATCTGTTCCCCTGTGACCTAGTTTTACTTTGGCTCCTAATTGTCATTTCGCTCACCTGTGTTATATTAATTAACTCATTAGTTCTTTTGTTTGCTCCCCTACAAATACCCTCAGTTTTCTCTTAGTCAGAGTCCGTTCTCGTTTATGTAATGTTGGTGTACTTGCCTGTCTCCTGGATTTGTTTATTAAAATACCTTTTGTTTATATCCTTCGTCCTCGTGTGTGTGTCCCTCAACAACCCGTAACACCCGGATGAGCCTGTGCTATTAGCTTTTACCGGTTGTTATCGAGGGATAACATACCTCGGAATGTCACGACTGACCAATCAGAATCAAGTATTCCACAGAGCCGTGTAATAATAATAAATATAAATCAAATAAAGTCACTGACACTCACCACAGTTTCTCCAGTTTACACTGAGGATGTTTTAGTAGATCTGAAAGCTGCTTCACTCCTGAATCTGTAATGTTATTGTCACTCAGGTCCAGTTCTCTCAGATGAGACGGGTTCGATCTCAGAGCTGAACTCAGATCATCACAACCTCTGTCACTAATAAAACAAGATCTCAACCTGTGAGTGTGAAGAAACACATGTGATATGAACAAATGTTAATGTCCCGTGAGGATCAGAAAAATATGCACTTTTGGTTTCTACAATAATTAGTCAGGCAAGTTATTTACTTCCATCCTTAACCTCTTTATATCTGTTGACATGTGTTACATGCCCCAGTAAGTGCTGGGCTTGTGGTTTTTTTTTTTCTCTCTCAAATTCTCTCGGGCATATTGACCTGCTAAAAACAACCTCCTCCTAAACACATTCACATAATCCAATAGGCTTATTGGATGCTCTTTCCCCTTCAAACCGTCTTCTAGAACAGCCAAAGGACTCCGGACTTTATGCCTAAAAACGAGTTCATTAGGGCTAAAACCTAAACTAGATTGTGTTACCTTTCTTGCTGCCAAGAGAACCAGTCCCTCCTCCCAGTCACGACCCAGTTCAGTACAATAAGAGCACAACAAATCTTCAGGGTCTGATGGAAGTGCTCTAACTTTGCAGATGGTACACTCGTCAAAATAAAGGTGCTTCAAAAGGTTCTTCAAGCGATGCCATAGAAGAACCATTTTTGGTTCCACAGAGAACCATTCAGTCAAAGGTTCTTTAAAGAACCATCTCTTTCTTGCGTTTTTTTAATCTGAAGAACCTTATTTCGCCACAAAGAACCTTTTGTGAAACAGAAAGGTTCTTCAGATGTTAAAGGTTCTTTATGGAACCATTTAGACAAAAAGGTTCTTCTATGGCATTGTGAAGCACCTTTATTTTTAAGAGTGTAAGCACTTGACTGTCAATGTTTCACTCATAACTGCTTCAATATCTCGGCAAACATTTTGGAGGTAAAATGTGTTCCCCGGTCACTTTGAATAATTCTTGGGATACCAAAAATGGCAATAAACTGTGAGAGAGCCTTTAGTGGTAATTTTCCGTAATGGAAAAGCTGCTGGATAACGGGTGATTTGTCACATAACCATTAACAAAAATGTACTCCCTGATTTTGAGGGAGGCAACAGCCCCACACAGTCAAGCTTTTGAATTAGTTAATTTGAAAACAAAACTGCATTTGATGATCCATGTCATATGCAGCATAACACGACCAATCACTAACTTGCTTATTTGATCAGTGATAAAGCGCAGAGTATTTATATAAAAATATCCTACATTGATAATTGTAATTTGTTTTGCTCTGCAAGCTAATATACAGCAGACCAAACTGTGAACTGCTATTCACCCAATCACTGAAGTGAAAACTGAAGTGAAACAGACTATTTTAAGCGCAACAATGCAACCTTGATCTGCTTCACACGTCATTGACTATGTAGATCAGCATAAACTTAATCCCATTAGACCAGACAGTCCTGAACTCACCCCAGTTTCTGCAGTTTAAACTGAGAATCTGCCAGTAGATCTGAAAGCTGCTTCACTCCTGAATCTGTAAAGTAATTGTTACTCAGGTCCAGTTCTCTCAGATGAGACGGTTTTGATCTCAGAGCTGAACTCAGATCAGCACAACTGACCTCATTAACATGACAAGATCTCAACCTGTGAGTGTGAAAAAAATAATGGATTGTTAACCCTTTCAGTCAGAATACAGTGAAAATCAGACATCATCAGATAATCACACATAAACATAAAGATGTACAGTTATTGCTGGGCTCTTAGGAACACCACCGAGAGATAAGATATGTCATCTGAAAAGTGTCCTAACAAGTCTGTCTGTGTGTGCTTGTAAATGGGGTTCTATTGTCTGTTCATGCTTCCTGTGATCTTGCTCATGTTGACTTCTAAAACAGGAGACAACATTACTAGCCGGGTTTCCTTCTAAAGTTGCAAATTTAACTTGTGCACAAAATTGGAATATGACATAAAACATTTGTGAATAAGCACCGTTTCCATCCAACGAGTCAAAGAGAACAAAATCGTCACTTCCTGATAAACTGGCGCTATACATCACTAAGAAAAGTCAGAGGAGGACACACCATCTAATGCTGGATTGACATATTCTGCATGATGTGTTTTATTTCTGCTCTCATACACTGAGATTACAGCATTCACACAGAGAGCATGCTGTGGAGTGTTACATCTCTTTCACTGAAATAAAAACACCTCACTCATGGATGTGTGAAGCCACTACAGATCATCAACACTGCAAACATTGAACTTTACAGCTGGCATCCAACAAGAACGAGGCCAGAGTGAGTTTAGCTTGATTTTCAGTTCAAAACCTCAAAAAATTATGCAGTTATAGAATAATAGATGTTTAGGATGCTGCAAACAAAACCATCCAATAATTTCACAATTCAGAAAACAAGAAAATAACTGTCTACCTACATTTTTACCTTTCTTTGAACATGGTAAAATTAAATTAAATTAAATATGAGTGTCACAAACTCGCTCCCTGTCACTCCGTTCACTCACCACCAGAGGTCACCACTCACCATAATAACTCTAACACCACACAGACTGTCTGTCTTGCCTGTCTCTCCCTGTCCGTATACTGTTTGCCCCTACCTGGACTATTGCCTGTGTTTCTCGGATTACCCCCTTTGCTTAGCCCCTCTGGATTAAGTTTGCTGTTGATCGATCCACGCTCGCCTTTGGATTACTCTTTAGTTTTGCCTGTGTTATACCTGTTTGCTGTGTGTTATACCCATGCCTGTTTATCTGACCATGCTTTATCCAAATAAAAGACAGCATATGGATTTGTACGCCTCATGCCCTGGTTACTCCTTAACAATGAGTAAATGAGTTGAGGACAAATGACTTTTACTTCATTTCAAAACACTTTCTTTGTTGGCCATATAAATTCTGAAGTGGACAACTTTTTTTTAAATGATGGTCACATTTTGCAGCCTGCTTTGTTTAAATGTATATATTATCTTAAAACAGACAATGATTATATTGTAGCTATGACAGTTAAGTTCACTATTTAGTTCAAATGTATAATTTTGCTTTTCATATTTATATAATCTTAGAACTGATAGTTGTTTCTATAACAGCTGTTCACAGGTTCTCTAGAGACTTCTGACATGCCAAAACCCACAAACGTCTTTCCCAGACTGATAACATTGAGCCATTACATAATCCAGTAATCACAGGCATTTCACCAACAACAACACAACTCACCACAGTTTCTCCAGTTTAAACTCGGGATGTTTTAGTAGATCTGAAAGCTGCTTCACTCCTGAATCTGTAATGTAATTGTCACTCAGGTCCAGTTCTCTCAGATGAGACGGGTTTGATCTCAGAGCTGAACTCAGATCAGCACAACCTTCCTCATTAATACGACAAGATTTCAACCTGTGAGTGTGAAGAAAGAAAAAAAAGTTGTTCCATCTTTCTGTTTATTTCCATGTGGCTGAAAAAAACTTGAAGTTCACAATAAAATAACTAATAAATATGAATGACATTATTAATAATAAATATAAATCAAATAAAGTCACTGACACTCACCCCAGTTTCTCCAGTTTACACTCGGGATGTTTTAGTAGATCTGAAAGCTGCTTCACTCCTGAATCTGTAATGTTATTGTTACTCAGGTCCAGCTCTCTCAGATGAGACGGGTTTGATCTCAGAGCTGAACTCAGAACAGCACAACCGTCCTCATTAATATAACAAGATCTCAACCTGTGAGTGAAGGGACAGTTATGAATCTTAATAGTTTCTTATTCACAACTACCAAAAATATAAAAACAACACAACAACAACAAAAATGTACCCCAGTTTCTTCAGTTTACACCGAGAATCTTCTAGTAGAGGTGACAGTTTTTCTATTCCTGAATCTGTAATCTCATTCTCACTCAGGTCCAATTCTTTCAGATGAGACGGGTTTGATCTCAGAGCTGAACTCAGATCAGCACAAGCTTCCTCATTAATATGACATGAACTCAACCTGTCAAAGTCAGAAGACAGAGAGAATCAGATAAAGCCACACTCTTTCAGAGAGCACTCAGACTGTCTGAGTTCACAAGGCACGTGCATGAGCAAACTCAAATTTCAGTGGTGTGGTAATTTCCTGATCATATTTAAAAAATGGTTGAAACCTACGTAGCTACTGTCTGTTTTCTGCTTGTTTTCAGTTTTTTTAACAAACATGAAATGGCTAGGTAAAAAAGATGAGTTCTTTACAGTCCAAATGGACAGTTTCAATTGTGTCACATGGATGGCACCATTACTCCAGAAAGTGTGGGGCAAAATTTTATCATTTAAATTAATATTGATAGCTCTAATTTTATAAAATTTCAAACTAAAAATCATGTGCCACAACAAATGCAATTAGAACATAAATCAAGCAAATATTCTTCAAATTAATTTTATTAAAAAGTAAAGAACTCTCAGTGTTTGCTTCCTTCAATATTAGGGTTAGTTACATTCCACTTATAAAACAACATTTCTGGATTCTGGTTTTTTTTTTCTGTTTTTAATCTTTCTGGACTCCATTTTAATGGTTAAAATACATTTTAGTAATCAAAAGCATGTACAATTAATTGAAATCATGACACTTATTCAATTTAACAATTGTATTAAAGGGGTCATATGATGCGATTTCAATTGTTCCTTTCTCTTTGGAGTGTTACAAGCTCTTGGTGCATAA